ACATCGTACCCAAGCTGCAGTTTCTGGTATTAGGAAAGCTCAGATGTTGATTTTCAAACAAGTAAAAGGCTTTACAACTACCACTGAACTCACAGGTGAGATTAGGTATTTTGCTTCCCTTCATCACCCTTAGGGCAAGGTAGGCATTTTGTCACAGCTCTCAGTTCAGTCTAAGCTAAGTCAGACAACCGTGACGAAAATAAAATCCACAAACTGAAAAGGCACAATCTTGCACTCAGTTGCATTTTCCTGTATTTGCCATCACATACAATTTATATTTGGCTGTGAAGCGTGCACGCCTGAAAGAAGTAAAAACAATCCTGCCACTATCAAGAGAAGTTTCTTACCAGTCACTGAAAGACATCATGTAGTAAATCAGCGGCCTCTGATAGTCGTTAAAGGCAGACTGTTCCCCTAAGGTACCAGAGCCCATATTATCAAAGATCAGCCAATCTCCAACGCTCAACTCGGGAAGAAGACAGTTTTCCACAATTTGATCAAGCTCATCACAGGATGGACCCCAAAGGCTGCTTGCAAACAGAGGCTCATCTTCCTTGTATTTCTGTATGGAAATGACCAAGGTAATTCAGGCTTCAGTTTACCAAGTAAGAGAAGTGTTAAATATATATTTAATAGACATAAATAAGGACTAATCTCTGGAGAATACAGAAGGACTCACCTTGTGAACCTCTGGGATAGTATTCAGTTTCTCAGACAATTTACTCGCAAAAGAACCATAAACACCATCATTTATGTAATATGTAAATACTGGTTCATCATCATTCCTGGTTTGCTCCACTGGAAGTAAAAAAAAAAAAAAAAAAAAGGAAGTTGTCTTGATGCATGTTTTGTCGTAAGTAGTCCTTTTGCAATCTAACAAGTCAGCTGCTTTCTCCTGACAAGGAGGTTCCATACATACTAGAATGGGAGAATTACAAGCAGAGTAATCTGTATGAGACCAGATTACAAATTCAGTTTTAAGTGTGAGGCTTAATAAAATTAATACTTTCAGTACTAATCACTGCTGAGAATACAAATCCAGAGAAGCAGCTTGCTCTGTGACATGTTTTTTCAGGTTTTTCTAGTACAGAACCTTCTTAATACAGATTCTGTGAAGCAGCCAATACAGGTTTAACCACTAAGAATCCAAACCTAACAACAATACAATAAGTGCCACATAAAAGTAACAGCGAGGCACACAGATAACATAGGGTCAGAACCCAAAAGGCAGATCACGGTGCAGGAATCAGGGAATGCATTCAATATATGCCAAGACAAACTAGTCCATCCCAACTAAAAGTGGGCAGTTACCTGTGCTGATCCATAACATGGAAGAGAAACACAACCCTTACCTCCAGAAGGAAGAAGTTTATCATACTCAACAGTCTTCTTTGCAATGATATTCACTGCCAGTGTAAATGCAGATGACACATAGTAACACCCAGGCTCTGCAATCACATTAACACCAGATTCCTTAGGAAAGTAGACGTCCAGCAATGGCCTGATGACATGATTAACCTAGGAAATTGAAGTCAGAGGTAAAACCAATGAACTCAGCTTATGCCTGTATCAGATACTAGAAGTGTTGCTGACTGAAGTACAAGTGCCCCAAGAGCTTACTCTGGTGCTCTGTTCTCTGAGAAGTGCCTGCACCAGAGGTACACAATTTATAAAAACATTTAAGAAAGCTGGTCATTCTGCTGAACACTGAGATTGAACACTACACAGTCCCTCCTCCCAACCAAAGCTCATGCTGTGGTACACCCAGGACTGCACAGTAATTTCAATGTCCATTCAGCACAACAGGTAACGTAACATTATGTATGAACCCTGAAGAACAAGGAAAAGGCCTTTTTGTAATCAGCTGTAAATAGTGTCATCTTAGAACAGAATGATTTAACACTAATGCTCAAATCTTAAGTGAACTGCAGATTAACAGGTACTTTGGACAAGTAACAGAACTGTTACAACTAAGAAAGAAAAGCCCTGATTGCGGTTAGTAACTTCTCACTGCATCACTGTTCCTGTCCTACGTTACAACCTAACAGTGCAAACAGGTTATTCTGTTTTATGTGCCACTGCATACTCAAGGTGCCATTTAGGCCAAATCAAAGACAAAAGCAATACCTTTAGCCTTCAGTACTGAAGCAAAGCACCAGCAGTTTTTATCCAGTGGCAATATGGTTTATGGTCCAAAGCATGCTAAGCAATCCTGGCCCAAACCATGCAAAAGTCACCAGCTGGACAACAGTCAGCTGCCAAAAAACTTGGGATTACTACTGTTAAGGTGGTTTAGTACAGTAATCTGTGCCATGCTTAAATCAACATTCACCAGTCTGAACAGGATTAAAAGAAATAATCATCACTTCCAAGGACTATCTATGATAAAGAATACAAACCCAACTATTTGGATCTTATGAATTACAGTCCAATGTGAAACTTAGACTACGTTTCAGCTATCAATGTTAGTTGCAGTTTGAAAGTTAAGCACTTCAATGTCCTCAATCAAAATTTCAACTTCCACACACTGCATACCTCTTCCAGCTGAAGTTCTGAACCTGTGAAGCCTCCACCAATATCCAACATGTTCATCTTAAAGCCAAATTCTTCCTAAAACGCATAGGCAGAATGTAAGTACATATAGGACAACTGTATAAATATTTTTGCTGCTCCTTACTGTGGTTGTTTTCTATGTACTTTTGAACATATTTGGCAGAGTATGTTTAGTGAGGGAGTTGGGGCAGTACAGCTCCATTAAACCTAGTAGCAACAGCATTGGGGTGTCAATAGAAACTGGTTATAGAATTATCTGCAAGACCCACAGCACTGTCATCTCCCATCCTGTGGCATTCGTTATATTCAGACAGTACTTGGTTAACAGGGTGGTGCACTCTGACAAAGGACAGTTTTAGGAATTTACAAATTATGCGACAGAACTGTTAAAATGAACTTGCAAAGATCAGCAAGATCTTCAATTTTATTGCCCTCTGTGCATTAACAGTCACAGCTAATCCACTAACTGCAGTAATAAGAGTAAAAATACTTGCAATCTTCTCAAATAACAGTAAGTGCCAGCATACAATTAATGTAACTTAAACATGTCAGCTGTGGATTTGCAGGACAGAGAGTTGAATGCCAAAAAGCCTTTATCAAATGTGGGAAACTAATTTAAATAGCAGGCAAGGCCTGTCAGTGGGACAGTTTCATTAACCTTTGCCCACAATTAGGACAAAGTTTGTTTTGCCTCTACCACACATCTCACAATGGTGTATTTAGTCCCCTACTAAAAGTTCCATCTCCTACCATTGGTATATTTTGGGAAGAATGTAGTTGGCTTGTTGTATGATCAGAATAGATCCTCTACTGCAGCAGTTGTATGTGTGTACAGATCTACTTACAGCCATGTCAAACACACACCGAGCATCAGATATAGCATGAATGTAAGTTTGCAGATCCTTGCAAGAGCCTGAAACATGAAATCTGAAAAAAAAAATAAAAAAATCACAGTTAATACACTGAACCATGCAGCTTTCAGATCAAACCAGCTGTTTCACCATGTAAACAGCAATGCAAGCAATTAATTCCCAAGTGTCTCATGACAAGCTTGCGTGATAATACAGCAACTGTGCTAAGAATCAGCTCAGAAGACTACTGCCTTCTATTCCACTGGATTTCCACTTGAGGACTGTCTCGCTCCTAATGCTAATCATGTCCCACAACATTCCAATGCTTTAGAAATAACAATGTATTTACTGAACTTTTCAGTCTTCACTATCAAAGTGGTTGAATTTTCTTCTTCAGTGGGTGCCAATGCTGCAGAGAAGTATTGATGCCTTCCACAAGCTCCTGGATCCCCTCTGGTTCCTTATCCAAAAGGTTTAAGTACTGCCAGACCTTTTTAGTTACTGAGGTGCTAAAACAAGTGCCAGCACTCCCATGGGCTTCCTCAAGACAAGCACGATCTGCTGGTTCTAGACAGACCATACACACACACCACCTGTGGACGATGCTCTCTACTCCAAGTCTACTTCTTTAAGGAATGCCATTCTGAGGCAAGGGTCACTTGTCAAACTTACTTACGTGAATCCACATGTGGATTTAAAAATTCTTTATTCCATAAAAAAAATGCACAAGAGCCATGTGATCTTTGTTAAAGTTGGCTAAGACATTATACGAAGAGGCACGTTTTCTCTTTTATTATAGCACATTTATACTCCAATATTGAACAGAGCCATCAAAACAATTGTGCTTAAATGACCAAAATCAGGCTTGATCTTAATTTTTCTTTTTAGTGTCTTGATGACCCACACTGTTTTATTTGTTTGGTTGCTTTCCTAGAACATTCATCAGCATGTCATCCAGTAGTAGCTGAGGGTAGACAGAACAGACTTGTGCATGCATTTCTCTTCCATATAGTAAATATCTGTCAAGCTTCCAATTGAAATACCACAGATAAATTACTTAAGCTCTGGGAACACTAGGATTCATTTCTGTCACCTGCAAGTCAAAAACTTATCTGAGTATTTTGTCTTGGTATGAGCAAAGAGTGACATAGGACCTTAACTCTTAGAAAATCCAACCCCATGTTCATCCTGTTCAAACTCTGTCCAACCTATTCCATGCTGTGCTAGCACTTACTTGATAGGCTGTTTATTGCTGGAACAATGCAAATCAAGTTACTACAGAAGTTCAAGAGTACAGTTAGAGAACAGGAGAGACTTCTAAACTTTGTTTTCATGCTGTCAGAAGGATTTCTGAATTCCATTTCAGATTGCTTTGACGCCTGTAATAGTTACTTTGTTTAATACTAGTTTTTGCTTTTATATTACCACTTTGGTTGCAAGCAAAAACTCATCATTCAAAGTTGGTTTGTTGCTGGTTGTTTGGGAGTTTTGTTGCCTCTTTTAACTCTCTAAAATAGTGCCAGAAAGGGAAAAAAAAAAATCTTTTTTGTTCTACGTCTTGAGTACAAAGATCTGCTCAGCCAGCACAGAACAATGAAGTTACTCACTTGACACCAACTATTTGGACTCCCAGCTCCTTAGCACATTCCATGAGGTGCCTACAGTTCTTCAGGGTGGTGCCAAACTTCATATTCATCTCCTCATCAGCAGTGATGTCTTCTGTGGCAATGTGCAGTAAGAGCCTAAGAGAAGGGGAAGATGATGGGGCAGTTGGTTTACATCATCAGCACATGTGAAGCCTGAAGACTGTCAGAAGTGTGTTGATTATGTTGTCATTACTCCAGCTCCATCGATGGATGAATCAAGTGAACCTAATAAAAACAATCCTGTACAGAGAAAAAACTAGCAATTAGGGGCTAAAACATGGAGCCAACAAGGACAAGGGATTTCGAAATGCAGCAATTAAGACTCTTTTGTAGCAGCAAGAGCCTGTTGAGTGCTGTAATAAAAGAGAATGTTACCTTCTAATAAAGTATACTTCCTCATAAAACCATTAAGACTGTAATATGCCTTTTCCCATCTGTCCTCCTTCCTAGCTGAGAGAAGAGCATGGAGATTTCCCTTCAGTCAGCCATGTATCAGATTTGGTTAAACTCAGCATCTGGGGAACACCAGGTTGATGCAGTCTGGCCACATCCCTCCACCTCCCCTCCTGGCTGAGCACATGGACTGGGGATGGGGTGGGGGTGTCAGTCCATTCCCTGCCCCTTATTCTAGGACACTGTGGAACAGAGGCAATCAGTACCACCTCTTACATTCTTATGTAGTGAGACATCTTCCTCTCTGGTCAAAGCCTCATTCTGGGTAGGTCTGGCAAACTGCAGAGCCAATGCTGACAGTTGTCTATGTTGAAGTAGCGCTTGAGTGGCAAAGGCCTGTTCACATCAAAACCTCTAGAGGTCTATCTCCGAAACTCACCAATTCAAACTGCAGTTCACTAAGAAAGTCACTCTCCCTGCCCCCCCCCAATAAAAGGTAGATTTATTAGCCATGTGGCAAACTAAACAGAAGCTGTGCCATGACATTGTGCTGGTTTGAGCTGAAG